GCATCTGATCATTAAATCCATGTTTCTGTTGGCTTAACTCACATTAAATAGTCATAGTGAGGATCCTGAGCTCTGCAGGGGAAAAAAAAAAAAAATCCCAAAGCACTTACATGAGATTTCTGACACTGCGAAAATAAAAACTAGTCTACCAACAGCACAACAATTACATACTACTACAGGGCTGGGCTTATTTAGGCTGTGGAAGTTTAATTATAAAAATTACATTTTAATTGATTGCTGCTGGAATAATTACACCACCTTTACAAGAAATGGCGACCATTGCATGTTTGTCAACAAAGAAGCTTCCTTTAAATTCAACATGCAATAATTGTTTAATTAAACCAAATTTAGATCCTCGTTTGAGAACATTCAAATGCTTGCCTATTCCTTCCTGTCTCTGAGAGGTAATTTAAGAGATAAAGAGCAATCTCTATAAATACTCTATCTATATACGTAAGTATCCAAGGAAAAGAAGAAAAAGAAATACTTCATTTCATAGCTGATCTGGATGTAAGCTTGCTGCTATTGATAAGAACATGAGCACAGAGTGAGTGATCACTACAAATCCCTCTCTAATTAGTGCTGCGAGGCCTTCATAAAATATGAACAGAATCCAAACTACATGTTCATTTTCTAATTTGCAGAACAGATTCAACTGTTGATATTCTAGCAGCACCCACAGCCCATACACGGTATAAGGATCCCACAGTAACTGTATCTGTGTATACATGGGAGGAGAGGGATAAATAATTCATGTTTTTCAGTCTCTTTCCAGGTTTTCTTGCAGCTGCAAAATCCTGTTGCTATCCTGTGCAGACTTCTGTGTTACAGGTGTGCAGCTCCTGAATGCCCCTTGTCAGTAGCCCAACACCCAAGCATGCAAAATCTGACGGCTGAGCTGCAGGGCTCAGTGACGAACAGAGGTTATTTTTGTCACTGGCCATCCTTGCAAAGTGGCCTGAGTTTTGCAGGCACAGATTTACCAAGCTGGTGACTCACCTTATACTGCTCACAGGGCACAGCCCCCAGGGCACTGCCAGGGAAGGCTGTTGTTGAGCCATCGGCTTCCCCAGGCAGCTAGAGGAGCCACCACGTCTGCCTGATGCTGCCAGGCTCACCTGGGGACTCCAGCCAGAGGCCGAAAGCAGGAGTCTCTGCATCACAAATTAAATAAAGCTATGGAGCTGTGGCTAAAACAACTCATATTCCCTGAGGTGCTGGGCTAGCACAGGATGGGGATGTGCATTACATGTGCACAATTGGAGGCTGAGATGAAGAATAAGAGAAAACCATTCCCAGCACAGGTTGTCTCAAGCAGGCAACCTCTCATCCCTTTGCTGCAAAGAATACACAGTGCTCCTATCCACTGCAGACCTCCCAGGGACAGGAATTTGCAGCTCTCTCCTAAGCTTCAGACCTCCTGTGTCCTCGCATCTGGCACAGGGCACCTGCAGCATCAACCCTGCTGAGCTGGGTCTGCCCTGAGCGCAGTCAGACACAGCAAAGCCCAGCATGGTAGAGCTTGCTAGAGACTGTGTGGAGGACATAAAGCCCTTTTCCAAACATGGCTGAAGACACAACCTGTGAACATGTCTTTTAAGCTGCTCAGGAGGGTTTTGCTCTGCTACGTCACTAGGTAAACCTTTCAGCTATACCACACCATCATTTTACCCTTTACAGCCACCTGGCACTGCTGTATACTTCTGCTTGAAATAAGGACTCTCAATTCACCTTCCCCCTAAACAATTGCCTTAGCCTTTGAAGAAGCAGCACGAAATTATAAAGCCTTTAAACCTTTAGTTAAGAACACTCAGAGTGACAGGTGTGTATTTTCATATGGGTAAGCCCCACCACGCACCCAGCTGAAACCACAGAGCCTGTTCATTACAAGGCATTTGTGGGATGGAATGAATTCAGGGAGATCAGTTATTGCAATGTGCCCATGTTTCAGTGATGCAACAACATTAGCATCCACCACATGCGTGAAATAGGAGGTTACCACACATTGTATCTACAACCTATTTTTTGCTTTCTTAATGATTACAGTTTGCTTAAAATGATCTACTGATGTATTATGCACAGGGACCACAGGACCTGTGGATCAACACTTCCCCACACAGAGGTATGACAAAAACTCCACATCTGAAAGCATCAGAAACGCAAAAGTTACTGCTGGGCTGTCACAGTGACAGCGCAGCGACAACAGCAGCCTCCTGGTATTTTCCAGATTTATCACTTTGATGGATATTACTGTTACCAATTCACGACCATCAGCAGTGTGTCATTAACAGTGCTGTCACCTGGGCACAAACGGGTGCAGCTCATAGTGTAACTTCACCCACTGTCACGCCAAAGCTTGCTCATCCTAACCAGTAAGCAGATACGTGTCAGGCAGAGGTAGACAGTGTCACGGTTCATGCCAAGATACATTTTGCACATGATCTCCTTAGCCAGGGTGCTGTCACTGTGCTGTGCTTCATCCCTCCAATTTGTCACCACCCCACAAGCTGCCCAACGTGAGTTTTACTTCTGCTGTCACCACTGATTCTTAATATATATCCTGTACTTTGAATGATGCTGCTTCAGGCACTTGCCAGGAGGACTACATTTAGCACATGAGGCCAGATCCTAGCACAAAGCAGGATCTGCAGTGAGGCTGGGACCTATTAGTCTTCCTCAGACGTCCTATTGGAGACCTGGATAGATGCAGCACCAGGTTTACAAGGTCCTAACACCCTTGACTTAACTGTCAGAGAAACAGGGAGTGCCAATGGCAAGGAAATGCTGTGTTCTCTATCTCCATGGGAACAAAAAATGGCACTTTTAACTGGTAGTATGGCCAGTCTTTTCTCAAGAGATAAGGACCACCATGTGGGCAGGATTTTTATTCTCTCTATATAAACAGATCTTTCCACTGATATCGAGTCTTGGCAACCAGGAAGGGAATTAGGTGGAAGATGAGGAATGAGCTAATTCCTCTCAAAAGTTTCACTCCAGCCTCAAAGTACTAAAATCAGGTCTTCTAATGGCCTGGTTTTTATGGGTCAGGTTTTTTTCACCCCTAGGGTACATGGAATAACACCTTCTTTTGTGCTTACAAAACAAATGCTGCCTTCCATAGTCTGGAAGAACTTAGGAAGTTTTTAATTATAAGAAAAGCAAAACGAGGACAAGGGAACTTGGACTGTGCAGAGTGCTCTGCTGGTCTGATCTAGGACAATGTGCCCTACATAGAGCTCAAATATAACATCCTTTGGGAGGCTGTCTTGCTTCCATTCAGCTTTTGTGAGACCACCCCTGCCCCTGTGGTACTAATGACAGATTCCTGAAGCATAACTAGTATCCTGGTCTTGCTATCAAAGCTGTAAACAAAACCATTAGTGGCAGGCGTGGAGAGAGGGAAAGCCATGCGCAGATGGAGGATTTATTTGAGTGATATTCTTGCAGTTTCTGCTTTCTTCCTGCTATCAGCACTGAAATAGCTCATCCCCAGCCACAGTCAGCAACTCTACCCCAGGTGGGTGACGCTTTCCCTTGATAGATACAAGGTCTGTCTTTTTTCTTGTATTTGTCTGGTTTTCCTGCCAAGAAAGTGCCATTGGACTGAGCTGAAATAGTTGCTCTTCCTTGATGGAAACCTTGTAGTTGGCAAATAGAAGGATATTAAGGAAAATAGAAAATCTTTAGATGTGTCATTAGATACTGCCATGAAAGTGTGGCCAAATTATTACTTCTCTCTCCTATATCATACTGGGCAGGAAATTCCTGAAGTCTTGTATTTGCAAACCCTTCAACAGAAAATAACACTTTTTTTTTCTTTCAAAAAGCCTTATTTATACTCCTCTTGAACATTTCTGGCACATTTTGCTAGGAAATACCTTCTGTGTATTTCTGAGCAGCAAGAACAGCTTGTGTCCACATCTACCTATTCTCCACACAACCAAACTGCAGAGAGGATGTTTCAGTGACTCAAGAGGACACTAAGGACGTGAGGTAACAACAATCCAACAGGCTCTGCAAAGGTTCCTCCAGCCCCTCCTGAGAGTCCCCATACACACAAACAGGCCCACAGAGAGTGAGAAGTGTCTGACACCAGGTCAAACTGAGAAGTTCTTTGAACATCAATCCCATCAGTGTGATCCCCTCGCCCACAGCACCACAGTACTTGCTTCAAGGGAAGCAAAATGCTGCAACAGCCCCTAATGCAACCACGGGGCTGTGTTATGGGTTTAGTTTTCTTCTGGTTTCCTCCTAGTCTGGTTTGTTGCTGCTAGTCTTGGCATTACCTGGCAAGCCAGTTTTACCTTTTCCCAATTATATCATACAATGAGAACAGTACAGCTAATGTGTTGTGCTTTAACTGGGTATACACCTAAGGATCAACTCTGCAGTGCAAATTCAGTCTTTAATACATGTTTTTAGAGTCAATGATTTCATTTTTTCTTGAAATCAGAACTCTTTTACGTCTGTCATTATTAGGTATGCCCCTTATTGTGGATCTGGACTCCACTTGCACCAAGCTGCTGGTTTCTGCTAGGTCTTTCTTAAATTACAAGGACAGATGGCTAAACTGGGACTGAGGAAGAAGTTGTTCACACTAAACAGAGACTTCTGTGTACCCCGTGGGTGGAAAGGGGTGTCTTTGTTGTACATCGCAGCTATGGGAAATATGGGGATGAAACCTCAACATAAGGAGCTGGGCAGAGGTTAGAGAAACAAGAGGAAATGAATTGTTGGGGGGTTTATACCACTTTGGACGCAATGGAAGAGAAAATGCAAGACATGCTGAATAACTGCAGCACTACCTCAACCCTTCCCTTAGGACAAACCAAAATGATTCAGAAATCCTTTGTCCATGTGTTTGGGGTTTTCTCGCCTGGACCCTAAAGACAAGCTGCACCTCTGGAGCAAGATGTCCCATATTTCAGACACAGAATAAACCCAAGTGAGGAAAAAAAGAACCCAAAGTAAGAGAGAGCACCACGAACGCAAGTACTTACAGGTGTATGTCATTTCAAAGCTGTCACTAATGTTCACAATGTCAATCTGGGGAAGGAGCTTAGGGGGTTCTGTGAGCTGAGACAACGCAAACCTAAAAGCTGCATGTTCCTGGGACTGTTGATTAGGAAATAACCCCCCTGGGAAGAAAAATAGAACAATAAGAAGAAAGGTCTTTAGCATACTTGTATTAGCAAACTTGTCAGTCCAAAATATTCCAGAGAGCAGAGGCTTCAACTCCCCAACCCAGGGAGTGCATCACCACTCAGAAACCCTCCAGCACACAAGACCTGGGGTGTTTGTGACCACTGTGGACAGGTTGGGAGCAGAAAACCTTTTCAGTCCGTATGTTATATAACACCTGGATAACATACAGGTGTATCTCCAGGCCCAGCAGCCTGCAGGACTGAGATAATACATGAAGATCAACTCAACCTCTTCACTCCCCATAACTTTAAGGAAGTGAAGTGGAAGCATTGTCATATTACCTTAATAAAGGAGGAATGAGAGTCTTTCTTCCTCCACTCACTTGTAATTAGGCCCAGTTTAAACCCTGCTGACTAGGAGGAGAGGTTTGCTACAGAAGGCTTGCAAGGCTTCCCCCACAGTGTGGGACTCTGGGATACAAGGCAGCCTGGCTGAGTTTGGTCCAACAGGTGCAATACTGGGTGGATGGGGACAGGGCTGCAAGAGCCAGAGTGATATGGGACCCATGACCAAGCAGTTGCTGCTACTGGAGATCTACTGCACTGAAAACCCCTAAATTTAACAGGTGACAGTGGCCAAACTCAAAGAGGGCAGGGAGTCAAAAGCTTGACTCGCAAAGGGATCAATCTAAACAGAAGTACGGACAAGTCCATAATCAAAGAATGATACAAATAAGACAGGAATTGGGATCAGGCTGGACCCAGGCTCAGAGCCTTTCTCCTGCCATGGACTTGGAACAAAGTGAAACGACAACCCTGCCCTAGGAAAAGTTTCCTGCTGCTCCCCCATCAGGAATCTTGGCTTGCGGCAGATCCTTTCACAGCCTCCAGAAAGATGCTATTAAATTCAGGCTGTCTTGTAATCTATATGCATTTAAAGAGAGCGCTGCTATTGGCATTTTAGGAGTAGGGAAACAAAGCACTTAGCAACAAGAGAGAATTAAAATAAAGCAGCAGAAAGTATCAATGCCCAAGATGACTTGGGGAAGATAAAAACGTGCAAAGACCTGCTATCAACGTCACTTAGCACATCTTTAGCACAGAGAGCTTCTTCTTGTGTGGAAAGGGCTATTTGTGCATCAATATCCCCCCACCTCCCCCATTCCTCCCA